ATCTTCGTTTTCAGATTGGTTGCATATTTGCTGAATTTGACCTTTTTAAACCCACTACTTATATACAAAATTGTATATATATTAATTTTCGTATAAATTTGACAAAGTTGTAAATCAATTTCTCGAGATAGGAACATCAGATATAACGTTTATGGGTCGCGATCGAGAGCTAAAGTGATTAGCTTTCAGCCTATACCCCCTTTCATTTTTCCTTTACAGTCCCTTTAACAAGCTTTTTTCGAATTACAAGTTTACAAGTAAACAAAGAGAAACTGTTATTTTATAGCTTTACTTTGTTTCCATGATTATGTGTATCCATGCTGTTAGAAAATAAAATAGTAAGTTGTCTTCATTGTATTGATATTTACGACGACGACTGTATGTATGTAGCAGATACAGCGACAAAAATAAGAAATGGCATCTGCAATTTTTTATTTCCAAATGTTTAAACTGTAAATATGCGCCCTAAAAAATGTTCAATCAATAATCAGCGTTGGTAAATAACATATTTTTTAGCGACATTTCTAATTAAAAGACTAAACAGTAGTCAAATGTAGGGTTTTAAGAAAAATTCAATTGTACAAAAAATTTAACCTTTCAATAATACCATTTTGAATTGATAATTTTAGTATTTAAAGGGAGTGTTCACAAAAAAATGAAAGAGGGTATAGGCTTACGTCGAATATATTCAATGGTGATTGATTGCTAATAATCTTACTTCTATCTGTTGCGTGAGCATCTATAAGGAGAAAATTGTTAAAAACAACGCATATAAATTCAGACGCAACAGATAGAAAGATTAGTAGTAATCACCATCGAGTATACCCCTTTCACTTTTCGCTAAGACTCCCTTTAAAGAAATTTTTAAAAATGGAAAACTCCTTTACTGAAGATTTAAACGTACGTATGTGTACACTTTCATCACAAATCGTTACTTATAATTCCAAACCAAACATTTAGAAATCGTACTTTTTTATACATTTTGTAGATCAGGAATAATTTGTTTGATCGAAAGATCTAACATTTTAAATACATTTTTATACAGCTCCCTTTATTTTATACAGCTCCCTTTATTTCCTACCGATTTCAAACTTTTCTCACCTTGTTTGAGGGATGTGCTGTGAAATAAATTACAGGGTATCCCCCTCTAAACTCAATTTAAAACAAACATTGCAAATATAAATTTGCAAAATTTCTGAGTATCATTTCCTCGTTCAATCTACCCCATGTTTTCACAGATTTTAACAGTCTCAGTTGTCTTCTACTTACCAAGAAACTTTCTCAGAAAAGGAATTAAGTCTTTGCCACAAACTCAAATTTTCTAATCCCTTTATTTTTGCAACCCGAAGTCGTATAGACCATTGATATTCCATTTTATACCATTAGGTTACAAAGATGAAAATGTTAGTTAAAGGCAAAAACTCTCTTCCAAAACCCTCTATTTCATCGATCAAGGTACTGCAGATCACTGCAGGACGAACTGAAAGCTAAGTTTTGGGTATTGCTATACATTTTTCTTTACTTTAATTCGTTTTTTAATCACTAATCGTACATGTAACTCTTAATAATTTAATTCAAAAATGTTAGTTAACAATTAAAATGCATTCTAAAAATCAGAAATGTTTAAAACCAAGTAGGAATATATTATCCAGAAAAAATGAGAAAACATAAGAAAATATGAGACTCTGTGTGCTCTACATGGATATATGAAAGAAAAATTTATTTTAGAAAGATTCTCATATAGATAGCTAGATAAACGGAAAGATTCTCATGTAGATAGATAGATAAATGGAAAGATTCTCATGTAGATAGATAGATAAATGGAAAGATTCTCATGTAGATAGATAGATAAATGGAAAGATTCTCATGTAGATAGATAGATAAACGGAAAGATTCTCATGTAGATAAATAGATAAATGGAAAGATTCTCATGATAAAAGATAGATAAACGGAAAGATTCTCATGTGGATAGAAAGATAAACGGAAAGATTCTCATGTAGATAGAAAGATAAACGGAAAGATTCTCATGAAGATAGATAGATAAACGAAAAGATTCTCATGTAGATAGATAGATAAACGGAAAGAGTAAGGGCAAGAATGAAAATGAAAGTTATATTTAAAAAGAGTTTGAGTTTAATCTTGAAGGTTCGTGATGAAGACTAATTTAAGCCCCATCTTATCCATCTATTTATCTTTCAACCTACCCATACCTTCTATCTTTACACTTATGTACAATGTACAATTCATACACTGACCAATTCATTTTCTTGTTTAAAGAAGTTTGATTACATAACACTTTGATCTTGCCGATAGGGTTTGTGTTCACAACAAATTAATTTTTCTAAAAGAGTAAGATTGATTTGATTTACTGTTTTCCCGTCTATAGTTTGTATGTGTACTGTAGAAATTGCCCTTAAGTCGGCCAGGAAATTTTAGTGACATTGGACGGTAACGATCAGAATTTGCATGGGCACTTCAAGAAGGCCGGGATTGTTGTAAATGTACACAAACCCTATCCTCCATACCTTTACACACCTGGATAATTTTGATTAGTTCCTAAATCGTTGTTTTCCTGATCAAATTATCGCGTGAAAAGAAACTATGAGTTTTTAAGGGTAAAATTCAATGTCTACACTGTAAAAATGTTTTTCTTTATGATCGTGCGTGGAAAAATATTCTCTGAGAATGTGCCGCGTCTACAATCTGCACTACAGCATAAAGTCGGTATCTTTGAGCCGGAGTTCGCAGTAGCTGAACCAACAATTTCACCGCAAATTATACTAACTCCAATCAACGCTGCAGAAGTAATTTAGAGTTGTGAGAAGGGAAGCGAGCAAATATAAAAATTCATGGTTTGAAGTTTTTTGTAGAAAAAAATAATACCTTTTTTGTTCTTATGAAAAATTCATTTTTGGAGAAATGGAGAGTTTTGGTGGATTCAAATGTCGCCTAATTTTTTTTTCAGAAAATATTCTCCCTCACTACTGATGGTCTTTAATCTAATCTGAAGTTTCTAGAATTCATCTAACTCCAAGGGTTCTTCTAAGCTTCGTCCGCATGGAAGGTCATGCAAATCTATCTTTTCCGAACCAACCCTATCTCTTTTAACAGAACCTATCTTTTTCATACCTAACCCAATCCGTCCTCTCCAAATGAAACTTTATTCATTCTTATCTCTTGTAATCTAATTCGTCCTCGGCTAATCAAACTACAATCCAACCTAACCTCAAATGACCAAACCTGTCTTTCCCTAATCAAACTTTAACCCAGCCTAATCTCCCTTAATTCAATTCGTTCTTTCATAATCAAACAATCGCCCAATCTAACCTCCCTAGCCCTCTGATATTCAAACCCGACCAAACCCTAACCTTCCCTTACCCAGCCCGTCCTCTGCTAAACAAACCCAACCCATCCTAATCTTCCCTGTGTGACCCATCACGTCATCTCATAATCAAACCTTAATCAAACCTAACCTCTCCTAACCTAACCCGTCCTCTCCTAATCAAACCCGACCCATCCTAATCTTCCCTGTGTGACCCATCACGTCATCTCATAATCAAACCTTAATCAAACCTAACCTCTCCTAACCTAACCCATCCTCGCCTAATCAAACCTAAACCAAACCTAACCCGACCTAACCCAATCCGTTCTTCTCCAAATCAAACCTTATATAACCCTACCTTCTCCATTTTTAACGCACCCGTCCTATTTTAATCACACCTTACCTCTATCTAACCCGACCTAACCCAACCCATACTCTCCTGAGGAAACCTTAACCCTTTCAATCAAGGTTTGTCTCCTCTGAGAACCTATGACTGCAGTACAGTAATACTAGATAAACAAGAACATCTGTCCTGTGTTTATACTGATATTTACCAATATCACAGAAATATATGTACATACTATACACAGACAATAAACAATATATAGTTTATAGATCAAGTTCTAAGATAGTTGAATAGAAAGGTAGATAACTAATCTGTGTAGTGGGATCAAGTATCCGTGTACAAATACATTTATCATCAGGTTTACTCCAGGCTAGAAAACTAAACATATTACATAACAATGGATATACAGAAACCAGTGCTTGCTGTTGACATCCTTTTCTAAAATAGAATATTTCCTAAACTGGTATGCCGGGAAACTTTAAGGTTATGTGTAATTCAACTCAGTTTCTGTGTAGATTAACTCTGTTTCTCTGTAGATTATCTCAGTTTCTGTATAGATTATCTCAGTTTCTGTCTAAATCAACTCATGGTTTCTGTGTAGATTAACTCAGTTTCTTTGTAGATTATCTCTGTTTCTGTGTAGATTAACTCTGTTTCTGTTTAGATTATCTCTGTTTCTGTGTAGATTAACGATGCTTCTGTTTAGATAATCTCAGTTTCTGTGTAGATTAACTTTGTTTCTGTGTGGATTATCCCAGTTTCTGTATAGATTATCTCAGTTTATGTGTAGATTATCTCAGTTTGTGTGTAGATTAACTCATGGTTTCTGTGTAGTTTAACTCAGTTTCTTTGTAGATTATCTCAGTTTCTGTGTAGATTATCTCAGTTTATGTGTAGATTAACTCATGGTTTCTGTGTAGTTTAACTCAGTTTCTGTGTAGATTATCTCAGTTTCTGTGTAGATTATCTCTAGAAAAAAACTAGTCAAGTTTTCTGACTTTTTTGATCCTAAAGGGACTGTGTGGTGGTGTTGATCAAACTATGTCTAATTTATATACTGTGGAAAATATATTTAAAGTTCAATTGTTATGGCATTAATAATAATTGTGGAATGTACAGGGTTATCTAAAAAGAATGAGACTTCAAAGAGGATTGTATTGATTTTTTTCTGCTTTGATAATTTTATGCTTCCATGTTTAATTAAGGAACATTATCAACCTTAATTCGCTTTATATTAGAAGAGTTTCGGGTAACCCTTATATCTAAATAATTAACATTAATTAAATTACCATATGATATTAACAATATCGAATATTTCCTAAGAAACACCAATTGATCTATGGACATATATTTTTTAAAAAGTAAATTTTTTCAAAAACATTTTTGCGAACACTTGGTAAAGATGGAACGAGACACTTATTTGTGGGGATTAAACAAATATTTAAGCATAAAAAATGTTGCGAATGTATTTTCAATACATTTAAATGCGTCGAACAACATAACATAATTTATTCCTGAGCACTTATAAACTAGATCTTCTGTTTGAAAATGCTTCCAAATCACACAAAAGAATTGAACATGGTTTATTACATTATGAGTAGCTTCAGAAAGAGTTATATGAAATAAAAAATTATTTACTCCCTAAATTCTATTTTGTTTTAATAATCCATACAATTTTGTAATGCTTAGGATAAACTGGTTCATTCTGAAATAAGAAGAACCGTTAAAAATAATAAGAATTAGACAGATATAATAGATGGTAAAGTTCTAAAATCTATCAATCTATCTATATTAATATTGTACTAGCTTAGAAACCCAGCTTTGCCTTGAACTTGATTATTCTCTTTTAAGGTCAACCCACTAAACATACAAATTTTGAACCAAGCTATAAACATTCCCGTGGTTTCCTAACTCAAATTTGAGACAAATCGGTCCAGGGGTTCATAAGTTATGATCGGAGAAACGAAAAAAACAGATATTATTGCGTTATATATATGTAAATATTTCTTTTTTCTTTTTCCCTTAATTGTTGGATTAAAAAATGTAGAATCTTTATTCTATCAACTGCACATAAAAGAATAAAAATGAAAGTTTTTAATTATTATTTTTTGCTACATTTTTTTAGTGTAAGAGGACATTACGCAAAAAATATGAATTCTCTCAAGCTACGAGCTCTACAGTAACAATAGCTAGCTAAAAAAATTATGGCGGCAGCTCGCGGTTTTATTGTGGATTTTGGAAGATTTTTAAAGATTTTGAAAAAGAAAGAAAACGGCAAGAAAGAAATCAGCTGTTCCTGGCCAGGGAGTTGAGAATGTGAGCTCGAAGTGCATTATTTAGACAAGGAACATAGCAGCAGACATTAGACGAGTTTGTATAGAAGAAAGAAATGATATATTATAATAAGTTATCTAAACCCAGCCCTAAATGCCCTGAAAAGTGTTATTTTTTACCTGGTTAGGTTTAACGAAGACTTCAGCGGAAACATTCAATTTATTGTTTTTTTCACAACTTCCATGCTCATGTTTACAAAACTCATATTTGTCAGACGTGGTTGCTTTTTTGAAGGTACTATGAGCAGCATACTTCTTTATGTAAATAAAAAATTAAACAACTTTTCAATTAAATACAAAATAAAAATGTTGTGGAATTAAATATTCACTATCTAAGCCCTCCTGTGACTAATTGGAGAAAGGTTGCAGGTTCAAATCTTGGATCACCGATTCAAAGTTAAAGAGTAGTAAGGATTAGAATCGGCGATTCAGTGTTTGAACCGGCTGTAGATAGTTCATTAAATTCGGACCCTACTTAAATAATTTTCTTATTCATGTTAATATATCTGCACTGTATTAATTTTTAAAAAATATATTTTATAAAAAAGCATCAAGTTCAACCGAAGATTTAAGTTTTAAGATATCGTTGCGGAGTAAAAGAAATTTTTAAATGAGATTTTTTTGTTACATATATTTTGGGATAAACTTCATAAAAATCTTTAATCTTTTTTCCATGAGAATAAAAATTCGACTTTAAAATTCGATCCTAATGAAGTAAAATTCTGTCTCTAAAAAAATATCTAAATAAATTTTTGAAAAATACATTTTGGGATATTTTATAATTAAATATAAATATTAATATTACCATGCATTTTATACATATTTGTGAATTTTTGTGATTTATGTGAATACCTGCTCGGCAATGACTGCAATTTCATTATTTGTTCCCGAACTATAGTTATAGCCTGTTAAAAAAAAATTCTGAGTCGTAAATTTTGTTTTTATGAAACTACATTAGAGAAGAGAAAAGCTTTGGAACCTCGGAGTAGGGAAAATTGAAAGGATGTCATCACGGGGAGTGATTAGGTCAGATGCACTTTAGGTCGGTTTCCTCAAGGTCAGTTTCCAAAGCATCGTATCAGACATTATGAAAGTTCTTTTAAAGTAGTAATTCTAACCTGCTAGAAAAACACGACCTGTAAGGTCAGGGGTATTATTATTTCCATCACACACTAACCAACCATCTAATTTTTTACAAAAATCAAGAATAAATAATTAAAACTAGTCTTAGTCACGTTACAATTTAAAGAAAATCAACTTTTAACATTAATATCAGCTCAGATAAGACGTAATTTGACAAAGCTTAAAGGGAATGTAAATATAAATATAAGTGAATCTCCATTAATGGAATATACAATACACGATGCGACGGTAATGTTCTTCTTTAGTAGATTACTTTCAATTGTGGTTTTCAAGAAAATTTAGAAAATTATTTAATTTTCAAATTTTCAAAAATAAAGATTTCAAGGGAACTGCAATAAATCTTTCACTTGAAATTATACAACAGTCCCTTTAAGAACTTTTATAACGAAAAATGTATATGCTTGAAGAAGAGTATACATTATCTGACCTGGGAGTTTGCCTTTACCATTCCACGCAATAATAGTTCCGACCGGAATTTCTAAACAAATTTAGAAAATAAAATAAATAAACAATCTTTTTTCTAAAAAACCTGTTATAAATATACACACAAGCAGCCAATACAGTATGTCCAAATGAATATGGAAATTTTAAATAGCACGCTAGATATATGTTATTCCCAGGCATATACGACAAGCTAGCTGGATTCGGTGAAAATCAATTTTTAAATGTCATAATGAAATATTGAAATATGGCCATTACAGTGCAGATTAAGTCCCAGTACAGTACGAGGATAGGGTCGGAACGGTACGAATATAGCAGAGCTTTCATAATCCCTGACATTCTGAGATGGCAGTGAGCATCTTATCTGGCCTTTTTTCTTTCAACAAATCATTTTTATTTTCACCATTAGACCTGGGGGAAGTTAGTTCCGTCATTTTTTGATCACCTCGTTTCAATAATAGATCTTAAGAAGAACAAGAAGAAGTGCTATATATACAGGTTTATAAAAATATTTTGTTCTTTTCACTTAAAAAGTTTAAATAATATGAGTTCTCTTACTTTGATGATTGATGCAGTGAAAAATAAAAGCTGCAAGTATTCCTGCAATCAACAGTCCAGCCAGGGCAACACACATCAAAATAAATACAAGGATATTTAGTAACTTAGAGAGTTTTAAGAATATTTAGTAACTTAGAGAGTTTACAGAATATTTAGTAACTTAGAGAGTTTAAAGAATATTAAATTAGAGAATTAGAAGAATATTTAGTAACTTAGAGAGTTACAAGAAAATTTAGTAACTTAGAGAGTTTACAGAATATTTAGTAACTTAGAGAGTTTAAAGAATATTTAGTAACTTTGAGAGTTTAAAGAATATTTAGTAACTTAGGGAGTTTAAAGAATATTTAGTAACTTAGAAAGTTAGAAGACTGTTTAGTAAATTAGAGAGCTAGAAGAATTTCTAGTAAATTAGAGAGTTAAAAAAATATTTAGTAATATATAGAGTTAAAAGAAAAATTAGTAACATAGAGAGCTAGAAGAATATTTAGTAACTTTGAGAGTTTAAAGAATATTTAGTAACTTAGGGAGTTTAAAGAATATTTAGTAACTTAGAAAGTTAGAAGAATGTTTAGTAAATTAGAGAGCTAAAAGAATTTCTAGTAAATTAGAGAGTTAAAAAAATATTTAGTAATATATAGAGTTAAAAGAAAAATTAGTAACATAGAGAGCTAGAAGAATGTTTAGTAAATTAGATAGTTAGAAGGATATTTAATAACTTAGAGATGAATATTTAAAAACTTCGAGAGTTAGACAAAGATTTAGAGGTAACTATAATTTTTATCCGTGATCTAAAAGAATCAAAGAAAGACGTAAGACTATTTTTCAACTAACTCTTGACATTGAAATTGTAGTCTATGTATTCAAATATTATATTTACCAGGAACATTTCATAGGTTTCAAGTGGTGTTTATGTATCCCATTGACTGAGAAGGAGACAAAAATAATGATTATAAAACGTTAAGACAATATTGATAAATAATTTGAGGAGGGGTTTCATCCCTTTTTGCGTTTTTTCATATACTTTTTCACCAAAAATAAATTCTCCAATAAAAAAACATAAAAAATAATTCTAAGAAAGGTGGAGGAAAATATAGACCCCTGTTCGACTTATAATAAGATTTTGCTCCTTTCCCTGAATCTGATAAGGTATTCACTTTCCTTATCATTCAAAATAATTTATTTAATTTTTACTTTTATTCCGATAAATGTATTATGGACCGTTTTTTTGTTCAAAATCAAGCCTTATCCTGTAAATCTGAATCAATTTTATTGATGGATTTAGTTAAAAAGGTGACAGAAACATTACTGTTTTCCTATCTCTATATTACCATGATCAGGGGGGGGGATCATAAATAATTTTTTCCTTTTCAATTCTTCTAGTTCTCTTATATTATTGTTATTCAATGTCATCGTAACACAAATTTCTGTAAACTATTTGAAATCTTATCAAACTAGACGGAAGTTGTAAAACCAACATGACAGAAAATTACATATTTATTTATTGAAAGGAAAAGTTGTGTAAAAGGAACTAGAAAAAAATAATAATGAAAAAAATTTGTTTTTCTTTCATGATTTTTAACAAATTTAGCTTTTGCTCTGTTGGTCAGAGAAGTAGGTTTCCCCACTCCAGTAGCTGTGTTCTGTATTCCAGTTCTGTGTTCTGTATTCTAGTTCTGTGTTCTATATTCCAGTTCTGTGTTCTGTATTTAAGTTCTGTGTTCTGTATTCCATTATTGTGTTCTATTCTAGTTCTGTGTTCTGCATTCCATTTCTGTGTTCTGTACTTAAGTTCTGTGTTCTATATTCCAGTTCTGTGTTCTGTATTCCAGTGTTCTGTGTTCTGTATTCCAGTTCTGTGTTCTGCATTCCAGTTCTGTGTTCTGTATTCCAGTTCTGCGTTTTTTATTTGAGGTTTGTGTTCTGTATTCCATTTCTGTGTTCTTTATTCCAACTCTGCATTCTGTATTTCAGTTCTGTGTTCTGTATTCAAGTTCCATGTTCTATATTCTGAATTGAAGTTCTGTATTCAAGTTCTGTATTCCACCTTTATCAGTTCTAACTTACAATTCAGTATTTACATTTACAACAAAAAATAAGATAACAAACCCCACGGTCCACACCCCAAAAAAACAAATCCCCATCCACCACGGATTCTCCCCCCCCCCTCCTCCACCTTTCTCCCTCCCCCTTCCTGACAAAGGTCGTGCATCCATATAGGTCTAAGTGGTCATAAAGTAAATTTATGCGCTGATAAACCTACCCTAACAGATACTGTACACTGAACAGATAGTAGTATGGATAATACAACAGATGTAACTACTTTTACATCTTTTATAACTTACAACTTTTACATTTACATATGTACTAATATACTTATTTACTTATTTACTTTTTTACTTATTTACCTATTTACTTATTTACTTATTTACTTATTTACTTATTTACTTATTTACTTATTTACTTATTTACTTATTTACTTATTAACTTATTAACTAATTTACTTATTTACTTATTTACTTATTTTCTTATTTACTTACTAATTCTGAAGTTTACTTAAGAAAGGTTGCTAAATTCCCTTAAGTGAGTACTTTCAGATCCTTCATTAAATCTTTTAATTCTTAAGAACGTAATTACGAAAACTTCAATTATTCCCTGTATAAATCTTTTGTTCCAAACCTCCCAAGTAGCATTTTTTCATCGTATACTTCTTTTCAGACCTGCAAAGTCTAAAGCTTAACGCGAGGAAGGGGAGGAGGGGGATGAGGACGGAGTCTTTTCGGTTTAGTTAAAAGGATTTCACACTGCTGGGATATGAGCGTAGACGAATCTGAAATCTACCCTGGTGGTCTCATCCTTGCTAATATTCACACCTTTACACTCTACACTCTACACTCTACACTCTACTTTCAACACTCTACACTCTAACACTCTACACTCTACACTCTAGACTCTACACTCTACACTCTACACTCTACACTCTACACTCTACACTCTACACTCTACACTCTACACTCTACACTTTACTTTTTGCAGCAAGTAAGTTTTTAGTAAGAATGTCTGAATAACGGCAAATATTTACAAGATGGAATATTTTGAATTAGTTTTTCTACTTAAGAAGAACAAGAAGAAGTGCTATATATACACAACCCACCATCACGAGGAAATACCAGGTAAGATTTGTCTAAATACTTGATAAATACTTGCTAACCGCCAGCTACTAGATGTCGGTCCCAGGTAATGACCTAACATGGATATTTATGATGATACGATGTTTATACGTCCTTATATAGGTGTAATGTAGACCTAGATATTCAACTATCATTAATTATTCTACTCCGTGTATACTTTATACCTGGAGATATTAATATTAATCCATGCTGTTGTTCCTCAGAGTATTTGAGATATGTGCTAATCAAGAATTTGAGGTTTATGTGATATTATTGGTATGACTGTGTGACTTCGTAGCTGCTATAGTTTTGATTTAACGCTATAAAAATTCAAAACATTTTTGTTCCTCTCCATTGCTTATCAATAAAATATATAATGATTAAAAACATGCCGGATTTCTCGAACGTGAACTTCTTTTAATCTTATCTTTACCCTTATCTATCTGTTTGGTTGTCTGCATTGTAAATTGTGTGTTTGCTAATTTGTTGGCACATTGGACAGTTCATCTGTGAGGTTGACCAAGCAAGGTAAGGTTGACCAAGGTAAGGTTGACTAAGCAAGGTAAGGTTGACCAAGGTAAGGTTGACTAAGCAAGGTAAGGTTGACCAAGCAAGGTAAGGTTGACCAAAGTAAGGTTGACCATATATCTTTAAGTATCTATGATTAAAATCTATCTGTATTTCTCTATGGTTATATCTGTATATACGTTTACTTGTCTGATGGTTTACTATCTATCTCTTTACATTTCTTTATAGTTAACTATCTACATGTTCACTTTTCTGTATAGTTACCTATATATATATATTTATTTGTCTTTATAGTTGACTATATATATGTTTACTTGTTTGTATGGTTGACTATCTATCTGTATGGTTGACTATCTATCTGTATGGTAGACTATCTATATGTATGGTTGACTATCTATATGTATGGTTGACTTTCTATCTGTATGGTTGACTATCTATATGTATGGTAGACTATCTATATGTATGGTTGACTATCTATCTGTATGGTTGACTATCTATGTGTATGGTTGACTATCTATCTGCATGGTTGATTATCTATCTGTATGGTTGACTATCTATCTGTATGGTTGACTATCTATCTGTACGGTTGACTATCTATCTGTATAGTTGACTATATATCTGTATGGTAGACTATCTATCTGTATATTTGACTTTCTATCTGTATGTTAGACTATTTATCTGCATAGTTGACTATCTATCTGTATAGTTGACTACCTATCTGTATGGTTGACTATCTATCTGTATGGTAGACTATCTATCTGTATGGTAGACTATCTATCTGAATGGTTGACTATTTATCTGTATGGTTGACTATCTATATGTATGGTTGACTATCTTTCTGCATGGTTGACTATCTATCTGTATAGTTGACTATCTATCTGTATGGTAGACTATCTATCTGTATGGTTCACTATCTATCTGTATGGTAGACAATCTATATGTATGGTTGACTATCTATCTGTATGGTAGACTATAGTGCCAACTATATGTCATGTTTTCTCTCAAGTATTGGTAAAGGTGCTAACAGGTCTTCAGGCAACAAGCCAGTTGAATACAAATTCATGGACTCATCACCATATTATATATATATATATATAAATATATATATATATATACATGTATATATAACATGTATAAGTATCTGGTCAATATATATATTGATATAATCAACCTCCTCTTTACTCTGAATTAATTCTTATCACTCATTTCCTTAAATACTTAAATTTCTAACTGATTTCCTCAAAGTTGGAAATTTTCATCTTTTTTATACAAACATTCGTTCATTCGCTAAGGGTCTTTCAGTTCCTTGTCATTCATTCGTTCAGGGTCTTTCAGTTCCTAGTCACTCATTCATTCAGGGTCTTTCAGTTCCTAGTCGTTCATTCCTTTAGGGTCTTTCAGTTCCTAGTCGTTCATTCCTTTGGGGTTTTTCAGTTTCTAGTCTTTTATTCCTTCAGGGTCTTTCAGTTCATAGGAGTTCATTCCTTCAGGGTCTTTTAGTTCATAGTCGTTCATTCCTTCACGGTCACTCATTTGTTCAGGGTCTTTCAATTCCTAGTCACTCATTCGTTCAGGGTCTTTCAGTTCCTAGTCGTTCATTCGTTCAGGGTCTTTCAGTTCCTAGTCACTCATTAATTCAGGGTCTTTCAGTTCCTAGTCGTTCATTCCTTTAGGGTCTTTCAGTTCCTAGTCGTTCATTCCTTTGGGGTCTTTCAGTTTCTAGTCGTTTATTCCTTCAGGGTCTTTCAGTTCATAGGAGTTCATTCCTTCAGGGTCTTTTATTTCATAGTCGTTCATTCATTCACGGTCTTTCAGTTCATAGTCACTCATTTGTTCAGGGTCTTTCAGTTCCTAGTCGTTCATTCCTTTGGGGTCTTTCAGTTCCTAGTCGTTTATTCCTTCAGGGTCTTTCAGTTCATAGGAGTTCATTCCTTCAGGGTCTTTTAGTTCATAGTCGTTCATTCCTTCACGGTCTTTCAGTTCCTAGTCACTCATTTGTTCAGGGTCTTTCAATTCCTAGTCACTCATTCGTTCAGGGTCCTTCAGTTCCTAGTCGTTCATTCGTTCAGGGTCATTCAGTTCATGGTCGTTCATTCGTTTAGGGTCTTTCAGTTCATAGTCGTTCATTTGTTCATGGTCTTTTAATTTCTAGTCACTCATTCGTTCAAGGTCTTTCAGTTTCTAGTAGTTCATTCGTTGAGTGTCTTTCGGTTCCTAGTCGTTCATTCGTTTAGGGTCTTTCAGTTCCTAGTCGTTCATTCGGTCAGGGTCTTTCAGTTCCTAGTCGTTTATTTGTTCAGGGTTTTTCAGTTCCTAGTCACTCATTCATTCAGGGTCTTTCAGTTCCTAGTCACTCATTCATTCAGGGTCTTTCAGTTCCGCTCTTTGTAGATCACGGGTTGAAATCTCTAGAATTTAAAATCTAACTTAATTACCAGGAACCTGAAATAAATCTTGGAAATTTTGGTTTTGTTTCAAATTTAAAAATTTAAAAACAATTGCTGAAAAGCTAGAAATTTAAACCTAACAAAGATATTACCGTATCATGCCAAGTTTAGCTTTTTAGCAACATATATAGCTAAGAGAAGATAACTTTTGTTTCTCAAAACCATGGCAATAGAATTGATATCTAGTATTATTAAATCATCAGTGTTTCCTAACACTTTTCCACGAAATCTATTCTATGACCAGGTTAGAGAAGATAAGAAAAGAAAACCAACCTAAAAAGGAACTGACGTAAAGTTTTTATT